ATTAATTATTTCTAGGTCTAAGGAATAAATTTCCATTAGTCCTAGCTGAGAGGCCACTCCTTCAAACAATATGCCAGCAACTGACATAACAGCACAGCGTGGGGAGGAACAGTTTTTCCCATGTCCCTTTGTTTACAGGATTTTCAGGCATTGTGCCAAGATTTTTCCCTATATTAAAGAAAACTCTGTTCTTTCACGTCCTTCATTTTCCTGCACACAGCTTGACTCTCCCATGCTGTCAAATTCCCTTTGAATCCCTGACACAGTCAAATCCAGTTTGCTGCACTCAGAATTTAAAAGCAGTGCCTTTGTTTGCTTTTTTTTTCTGAGCACAGCAGCTTGTGGAAAGAAAATGGGAGAAGGTGAAGAAACACCTCTTCCATTTGAACCTAGCTTCTGCTTGCTTCATCTGATGCCCCCTAATTCTTGGATAAGAAAAGAGAGTAACAGTCAGTCCCTATCCACCCTTTCCATAGTACTCAAGGTTTTTCAGACTTTATTATAATCTGCCCTCAGCTGTCTTTTTTTCCAGGGAAAGAATTCCGTATTGCTCGCTAAAAGTCACTTAAGCATCCTTGCAAGACAAGCAACCCTGTTTCATCTGAAATACTGATCACAGATTAATAAATACTGTAATGATTGCATTGGACTTTCAAGATTTTACCTGTATGATGTTGGTATTTTATTTTCCAAGACACACAAAAAACGCAGAGCATATCACAGGTCAAAACCCCCTCTCTTTATCTGTGCAAAGAAATATCTTCTCATGGGCAATTATTAGTAAAATACTACCAGAAAAAAAAAGAGAAAAAAGAAAATAGAAATAAAGATGGGAAAACCACTATACATTCATAGATACCTAAATATTTTCACGTAACTGGGCCTGACTATTTTGTTACATTTTGTCCCACACAGGTGACATTAGAACAACACAAAACAACTTATCTTATGGATCAGCATAGGTAAAGTCAGATGGCAAGCAATCATAGAATCATAGAATGATTTGGGTTGGAAGGGACCTTTAAAGGTCATCTAGTTCCAACCCCTCTGCCATGGCAGGGACATCTCCCATTAGATCAGGTTGCTCAAGGCTCCATCCAACCTGGCTTTGAACACTTCCAGGGATGGAGCATCCACAGCTTCCCTGGGCAACCTGTTCCAGGGCCTCACCACCCTCAGGGTAAAGAACTTCTTCCTTACACCTAGTCTAAACCTACACTCTTCCAGCTTCCACCCATTACTCCTCATCCTATCACTACAGGCCCTTGTAAAAAGTCCCTCTCCAGCTTTCTTTTAGGGCCCCTTCAGATACTGGAAGGCTGCTATAAGGTCTCTCTGGAGCTTTCTCTTTTCAAGGCTGAACAAGCCTGACTCTCTCAGCCTGTCCTCATAGGAGAAGTGTTCCAGCCCGCTGACCATCTCAGTAGCCCTCTTCTGGACTCGCTCCAACTGCTCCGTGTCTTTCTTGGCTCCAGAGCTGGACACAGTATTCCAGGTGGAGTCTCACAAGGGCAGAGAAGAGGGACAGAATCACATCTTTTGATCTGCTGGTCACACATCTCTTGATGCCTCCCAGGATCTGGTTGGACAGCTCATATTGATCTTATCATCCACCAACATGCCCAAATCCTTCTCCCCAGGACTGGTCTCAAGCCACTCATTGCCCAGCCTGTATCTGTGCTTGGGATTGCCTCAACCCAGATGGAGGACCTTACACTTGGCCTTGTTAAATTCCATGAGGTTTGCTTGGGCCCACCTCTCAAGCCTGTCAAGGTCCCTCTGGATGGCATCCCTTCCCTCCAGCGTGTCAACCACACCACAAAACTTTGTGTCGTCGGCAAACTTGCTAAGGGTGCACTCGATGCCACTGTCCACGTCGCCAACAAAGATGTTAAATAATACCAGTCCTAGTACTGATCCCCACTTGTCACTGGTCTCCACTTGGATGTTGAGCCATTGACTGCAACTCTTTAAGTGTGATTTCCCAGCCAGTTCCTTACCCACTGAGTGGTCCATCTATCAAATCCATGTCTTTCCAACTTGGAGACTAGGATGTCCTGAGGGATAGTGTCGAAGGCCTTGCACAAGTCCAGGAAAAATACCAGTCCTAGTACTGATCCCCACTTGTCACTGGTCTCCACTTGGATGTTGAGCCATTGACTGCAACTCTTTAAGTGTGATTTCCCAGCCAGTTCCTTACCCACTGAGTGGTCCATCTATCAAATCCATGTCTTTCCAACTTGGAGACTAGGATGTCCTGAGGGATAGTGTCGAAGGCCTTGCACAAGTCCAGGAAAATGACATCAGTTGCTCTTTCCTTGTCCATTAATTCTGTTACTCCATCATAAAAGGCCACCAGATTTTCCCTCGGTGAAGTCTTGTTAGTTGCCACCAATCATCTCCACATTTTCCATGTGCCATAGCAGAGCCTTCAGAAGGATCTGCTCCTTGATCTTGCCAAGCACAGAGATGAAACTGAGTTGCCTGGGTCTTCCTTTTCTCCCTTTTTGAAAATGAGGGTGATGTTTCCCCTTTTCCAGTCATGACCTCTCTAATATGACAGAAAGCGGCCTAGCAACTTCATCTGCCAGTTCCCTCAGGATCCATGGATGGATCTCATCAGGTTCCATGGATTTGTATACCTTCAGGTTCTTTAAATGGTCTCAGACCTCATCTTCCCTTATAGTGGGTAGATTTTCCTTCTCCCAGTCCCCACCATCGGCTTCTACAACTTGGACAGTGCAGCCAGAGCCTTTGCTGGTGAAGACTGAGGCAGAGAAGTCATTGAGGACCTTTGCCTTATCCATACCCTTCATGACTGGCTCTCCTGTTCCCTTCCGGAGAGGGCCCACATCTTCCCTAGCCTTCCTTTTAGCACTGACATGCCTATAAATGTTTTTCTTGCTACCCTTGATGTCCCTGGCTAGTTTTAATTCTATCTGAGCTTTAGCTTTCCTAACCTGATCCCTGGCTGCTCAGATCGCTTCCTTGTATTCTTGCCAGTCTCCCTGTCTTTTCTTCTACTTTCAGTAAATTCTCTTTTGATCTTTAAGTTTGTCCAGGATCTTCTTGTTCATCCACGCAGGCCTCCTGATATACTTCCCTGCGTTCCTCTTTTTTGCAGTGCATTACTCCTGGGCACAGAGGAGGTGGTCCTTGAATATGGACCAGCTTTCCTGGGCCCCTCCCTCCTTCGGGGCTGTGGCTGTGTTTTAACAGCCCAGGACATTACAGAGTGGTACCAGTTACATCAACCTCCAAGCCTCTTCACAAAGAATCACAGAATCACACAACAGTAGTGGTTGCAAAGGACCTTGAAAGATCATCTAGTCCAATTTTCTTGCCAGAGCAGGATCACTTAGAGTAGGTCACACAGGAACACGCCCAGGGAGGTGTTGAAGGTCTCCAGAGAAAGAGACTCCATGACGTCCCTGGGCAGCCTGTGCTAGTGCTCCATTACTCTCACAGTGAAAAAGTTTTTCCTGATGTTTTTGTGAAACCTCTTATACTCCAGCTTGTATCCACTGCCCCTTGCCCTGGACATCACTGAGAAGAGCCTGGCTCCATCATTCTGACACTCACCCTTTATGCTCCCAGTTCTTGTTACACCACTGTGATTTTAGCATGATTCTCAAATTAGCTTTTGTCTTGGAAGTTTTTAAAAGAACAGCTAATTTCATAGCATATATACCCATTCAGTCACACACTGAGTTGAGCCTAACATTAACCAGGGTCTTCCTCAATATCAAGAGTAAAATCACTTAACAGTAGAAAAGATAAAGCTAATGGGTGTTGTTTCTGTTTATATCACTGGAGTATCTGATGTATAACACTTAAACTTTAGGAATCTTATTTTACTTACAAAATCATACATAGCTCTTTCTCATCTTACAGATTTGAATTTAAGAAACTGACTGCCTCCAGCATTCTCAGGTATTTAGAAAATTCACAATTTTTGGTATGCTTTAGAAGCAAAGAAAGAGAAGTTAATTAATAATTACTCTGATGCTTTAGACTTATGCCTCTGTGGAATTGCAGTCTAGGAGCTACGCAACATGACTTCTTAAGTCTTGCAGTAATTTTAAAGCAGTGAACCACCAGAAGGTCTCAATATACACACTCGGTATTCTTTCACATTGATGAGCAGAGGTCCAATGCTCTTACTTCTTCAGGTACCCTTTTGCATGTCCACACTCACAACCTCTTCTGAAGGAATGGAAAATAAGTAAAAAGGAGCGGGCGGCAAGAGCAACACATTCAGTAGTCTTAAGTATCTTTTCTCTCGCAAAATTCCACTCAAGGCTAGAAGATTAACTGAAAATAGAATTAATGACAAGTAGAATGAGGGGCACTTAACTGCAGTAACAAAATCTGCCTTCCTCAAAACCTAAAAGACACCAAAGGCAATGATGAGGAGGGACCTGGATGACCCTCCCAACACTATATAATTAGTATATACATTTCTGGTATGGAAACATCACCAGTGATGGCTACAAGAGTAGCTATTATTCCCAGCACGGGAAATTCACAGCTTTTTTTTTTTTTTTTTTTACTTCTTACTGCTTGTATAACAATGGTCTTATTGCATATCCAGGATATCCATCCAGGCAATGCATTAGACAAGAATTCTACCTGGACCTCTTCCCAAAGAATATGAGACACTTAGGAGCATGTTAAGAAAATAATCCTGATATTTTTACACCAGATTTTACTTGCACTTCAGAAGTATACCGACACACAGGAAATCCTGCAGACTACGAAAAAAATATTAGAAGATTACAGTGAAATTACCTTAAATAAAAGTTTGGATAGAGAAATTTGAAGTAAGTTTGTCTTTATCAAAGACAAGAAGGGAAGGGGTGGAAATCATAATTTTAATTGCACTGTGCAGTGGAATCGTTCCAGGGACAATGATATAGTAACAGTAAGAGAACAAAATCAAAAACTTCAATACTTTTGTTGAAATACTATTCTTTCATTCTGCAGGTTCTAACTCGTATCAGAAGAGATGGCCTGGCAGGCTCATTGAAGGCAACCGGGTACTGAAAGCAACTTCTGACTTGCAGAAAGATGTCTCTAAGGCATAATCTCCATTGCTGCTGATGCCAAGCAAAAATACCAGAACCCTTAATTAAAAACAGAGATTTAAACAAAAGTAGCTTTATACTGATTCTCAGTGCCCTTATTCTTCTCACTCTTTACATTAATCAGAGACGGAAGGTCTGATGTCCTATAAACTCCAGTCCTCATCCTCCCTTGGCAAGATCTCAGTTCAGAGATGTAACCTTCAAAGCTGAGGTTCCCTTCAGAATCATCACAGGAGCGTGTGCCAGTGTCTTCCAGTTTGACTCCGTCCACATCGATTATCCTGTTCACAGGGAGCTCCGCTCCAGGGTTCTCTCTTGCACCAGGAGGATTAAAGCTTCTGTTGGTCTTCGCTTTGTGAGAGGTTGGCTCACAAGAGGTTCCTGAAGTCCCTTGTGAATTTTTTTTCTTCCTGTGGTTTGCATCTAGCAGGAGAATTAAAAAAAAAAAAAAAACACAAAACAGGAGAGTTATGTATCTTCTGGTTTTAGCATTTTTCAATATTGCAGCCTCCTCTGAGGTCCCAGTGGTAGATAGTCAGCTGGGATATTCCTCTGCTCCATCAAGGAGACTTACTGATGTACAAAGTAGGTTATCTAAACAGTACATGTCAAAGATAAATGTAAAATGTTAGTATGTATCTGTCTTTTAGCATTTTTCAGAGTTTTAAAGAAGACTCCATTAAAATATCTGCTTAGTATAAATTTGTACACCTCTAGGAAAAAAACCAACAAAACACCATTCACATCAGCAAACCCGAAGGTGAAGGAGGAGAATATAGATCTTCCAGTGGGGCAGAACAGGACAGGTTCCTTGACTTGAACTGGCCTCCAGTACCAGAACCCCGCTGAGATATTATTTTTACTTGGCTAGAGATTAATCCTCTAGCAAAGAAAGGATGATCTGAAGTTTTAGTTTGCTGTCCTGAACTGCAACTGAGCAGTTATGGGTCAGTTTACAGGACAAGAAGAAAAGAAACAACTTAGTCACCTGAGGGGCTTTAACCATTCAAGAAACACCTGAACTATGTGTGATCTTTTAATCTTGATGTTTCTTTTTAGTAAGAACACTTTGCAAATCACGATTGTTCAGATTCGGGCCTGTTCTCTAGAACTACTCATACAAAGTCATTACTATCCCAGGTTAACCCTAGATTAAAACCTCGAGCTCCTCAAACGTAGATTTGCGTTAGGTTTGAGACTGCAAACTGCTAAGTCCTTGTTGCAGCACATACAGATGAAGCTCGTTTCCCTGTTTCAACAGGCAACAAGAAGGGAGAGATGAAGAATGAGTTGATTTCACAGTTGGCATCATGGTTATCAACATGATTTCTGTAGTTGAGATGCCCTCACCTTAACGATATAAAAAGGGGCAACATTTGCAGGGAAAGAGAACTGCTTTTATTAGACCAACTGAAAAAAGTAAGTGAAACTTTTAAGTCACAAAAGCATACCTGAGTAAGGACTTCCATTTCATATTTAATTTATTTTTTCCACGTACACCAGCTGGTCTTTTAAAAGATACTGTCTTATCCAACATACCTTACCTAAAACATTTTTAAACTTTTTGCCACAGTACACACAAGTGCCTGAAGAACACATTTAGCCACATGAATCCCATAAGACTTGTGTGGTTAAATCCCAAAAGACTTGTGTGGTTAAATCCATAACTGGTTCTGATATCTTTTATTTGCATTTGTTCTACAAAGTGGTTTTTATAGCTTTTTGTAAAAAAAATAAATTTCCATGTATTAGCTCAGTTGGTTGAGTGTGGTGCTGACAACACCAAGGTCGTGGGTTCAATTCCCATTCAGTCCCCATGTGTCGCCTGATCTAGTCAAGAGGTGACACCCCTGCCCATGACAGGGAGGTTGGATTAAATGATCTCTAAGGTCCCTTCCAGCCCAGGCCATTCTATGATTCTATGATAATCATCATAATCAAGAACTTTTTTATACAGAGAAATGGAGAAATGCAAATGAAAAGGAAAAAAAATGCAAATTCATACTATTTCAATCAAATCATTTCAAGGTCTTCTTGAGGGTTATGGCTTTCTATTTAATAGAAATAAGTTAAAATTCTAAGCAGTGCAATATTTTAGTGCTTTAGCTATAGTGCAGCCCCACACGAATAATGCAGCATATCAGTAATGCTTGCATTTTTTTACATGCAGAGGAATTAGATCAAACTCCAAACAAGTGAGCTGAACCATAGCAGAGAGAAGGCAGAAAGCTTTCTCAGCCCTGCTAGCCCAGCACAACTCCAGCTAAATTACAGCTACCATTTAATGGGACTACATTACACTACATGCTTACATTTTCCTATTGCAGCTGAACGTTGGCTTAATTTTACCTGCTGTTTGTATGGCTGTGGTGTAAAATGCTATTCTTCTATTCTAAAATGTTTATCTTAGCATGACTGTACTGAATTCTACTCTTGATGTTTTTAGTCTTCTACTCTATGCCCTTTGAGGAAGATCCCTGATTCTCCTTTCAAGTTGGTTTTAAAGAGAAACTAATTCTTAAAATTCATACTAATGACAGATTACACCAAACAGTTTGCACTGACAGAGCATGAGTCACCCAGTTGTTCCAGTGTTAAGAACACCTCTTTCCACTAAATGTAATGCAAAGAAACGACTTTGATGGTGGCGTAAGGTCTCATAGCTCTGTTGCCTTGAACGAAGCTGAAACACTTTCCACAACCAAGAGAGTCTGCATTAACAGGGTACTAGAGATGAAAGAACTGGAAACTCCTACTGAGGAATGCTATGGAAGGTGTAAGTATTGCTGTATTTATTTGGTTGATAAGTCCTTCTACAGCTAAATATAAGAAATGCCATTAAGTCTTGGAATTATGGTGTCACTCAGTCACCACACAAAGCAACTTGGCTCACAAGTTGTCTCACAGGAACAAAGCAAAAATAAGGTCAGTGTTGGCTCTCGGGCTTCACAAGACACAAGTCCATCTGAAGATGAATAAAACTCTGTTATGAACAGTTTTTTTCTAATAATGCCCTTTTCAGGAGCAATCCCTCTGAAGCACGTAATAAACTACTACTAGAGGCAGGACAGTAACAGAGAAGGTCTTATCTAAAATAATGGTTCAAAAGAATATGGAATTACTACATGATGATACTGTGAAGATGATTTCTCTTCTTGTGGCAGGGTAGAAGAGATCTTGGCTCATCCACACCAAACAGAAGGATGATTTCAGGAGCAGCAGCACTGCACTGAAAAAATATTTTCATGTGCCCTTTTTCTCCCCTCATTTTTAAAAACAAAACATTTGTGAAGCAAGATTATGCAACACAAATAATAGGAGGGAGTCCCAAAAAGAGCTTGTGTATAAATGTATCCCACAAGTTTTAAAACAGACTCAAGATATGCATGTACTCAGTGGAGCTTTATAATGAGGCTTAAATGATGCCTGCAACACTTCTGCACTGGTCCCCTCATACCCTCTTTCTGAGTAACAAATACTTGGCTAAGCAGGGCTGCATCTAAGGTGCAGGGAGCTTTCATAGATAAAATCTGTCTTCATCTGTTCTTGCAGTGGTGATGAAAACCTCCATGGCTATCTCTGTGGATCACTCTGGCTTGCACAAAGTATGTCAGCAATGATATTCCATTTTCCCGAAACTAATCTGTCAAACGTCCTACCTATTTCAGAAGGGAAAGGAAGCCAGCACTCAGAGGAGTAGTTGCACAGATTAATTTCCAAACAGGCTGGAAGAGCATAATCATGCCTATCGGTAATCTTCACCTCCCCTGCAAAGCCTTCCACGCAGCTCTAAGGGAATTCTCTTGGGCATCTGAGCCCGTTAACATAGTCCAGCTGGGTTAAAGATAGGGATGCATGGAGATCTGCTGTTTTACAGACGCACAGTTAAATGAGTGCTTAGAAGGATAAGTGCACCCGTCTGCCTTTTTCAAAATGTAAACAATCAGGAGCTGATTTTGCCTGATTTCCAGACTTCCTGTACCAATTTTTCTGATATTTTGATTTTGTCTATTATTCTCAAGCTCCTTGAATTGAACATTATGATTATGGAAAAAGTATCTTCACAGAAGAAGACAAATAGAAAATTTCTTCTTCTGTATAAAATATTCCTCAAGCTCTAAGTAAAATCTAAGCAAGATATTAGAAGATGTCGTCTTCCAAGTATTTTAGAGCCAAGGGAGCATTTGGCCAAATTCCAGGCAAAGATGAGATCACAAAAAACCCTGGAAATTTCAGTAACAGCATTAACTCTCAAGTGTAGATCGGATATTCAGCTAAAAAGAATGAGCTCCAGTTTAATGATTTTGTGCTGATTTACAGCAGACAAGAATCTTTTTTAAGTATTCCATAGTGCTTACAATATATCCCTTGTGGAAAAAAACACAAACCAAACCAAAGAAAAAAAACCCGCACAACCCACAAAGTTTTCAGGAGCAATCATAGGAATTGGTTATTTACTGGCATGTACCATCCCCAAATATAATCAACCATTTTCAGTCTCCAAATTAAGAAGACTCAGGCGTGTTCTGTAGCGTGGGAGATTGGGCAGCTACTCTTCTCACCTCGGAATCCACACAACCACCTGTCCTAAGGTGATAACGCGCTGCCTGAGGGAGCATTTTTAACACGAGACTTCAAAAAGGAACTTTGTGATGGCCACTTCTGCAGTGGCTGTTCACTTCAATGCCCTGGGAATATTTCAGTACGAGGAACTCCCTGCCTTAAGATGCATGTAATCTGGCAGTTTCACTCCGAGAAAGACACTTGTCCCTTCCTGTCCTAAACCGTTGGAAAATGGAACTTCAAAATTTTAGCCTTCCCACATGTGGATCCTTTTAAGTGGCAAATAAATGACTTCCACACTGGCTGATGTACTGTTAGTAGAAAGAAAAGGATACCTTACATCTAAGATTTAGAATTCTGCCGGTTAAATTTCCCTTAGTAGTTTCCTTCCTTTTATCTCTTAACTAATACAGCACCAAGAAAAAGGATTAAATAAAAGATTCCTACCTACGGTTTATGCTGTATCGTTTCAAACAAAATTTGACTTTATATGCTGAATTTCACTTGCATGATGAAACACCAACTGCATCATATGCTTGGTGCCTTGAAATCTGACTCAGTAACAATGAAGGCATCAAGTTAGGAAATGGATCATTTCACAAAGCAGCAATATTCTGCATTACCAGTCTATTTACTTATGTTCTGGGAATTTCTGGAATACATTTGCAGCATTAAGTTTAGAAAGACGGGGCAGGTAGAAATTCTTGCATTGCACTCATCTCAAAAGCACTTGCGAGAAAAACAAAGAACAAACATTACTCAGAAAGACAAATTCTGAATATTACATAGAAGAGGGAGCTGGTATGACTACTACTGCTCACCAGTGGCAAAATCAAAAGGAAATATTGCAAACTGTTTGC